TGAAAGAGCCATGTCTTGAGGGCGCGACGGAAGGTAAGGAGATCCGGAATCATCCGAATCTCGGGGGGTAGTTCATTCCAGAGGGTAGGGGCACCCACAGAGAAGGCCCTCCCCCTGGGGGTCGCCAGCCGACATTGCTTGGCCGACGGCACCCTGAGGAGACCCACTCTGTGGGAGCGTACCGGTCTGTGGGAGGGAAACTGCCTAGCAGCATATGATCTATTTGTTAAGTGACTGTATTTAACAAATGAGTCCCAAAACCTTGAAAGTATTCTCCCAAAAAATTCCCAATTCAAGGGTGAAATATATCATTTCTGGGAGTTTGTCAGAATTCAAACAGGCTTGCTCTGATGGAAGGTTTTTTTTTTTTTTACCTGCTGCCACTCAGAGTCTATGCTGACCAGTCACTTCCAAACTCATTCTTCTGTTGCCCTCTCCTCTCCCAGAGGTTTCAATTTGCTTTGAGAAGGAAATATTCTAAGAAAGGAACAAGCCAACGTTTACCCTTCTCTTCTTCCTTCGCCTTCCCAGGAACACAACAGCAGGACGGGGATGACCATAATGATGATAATGGGGATGATTCTGTTCCTGTGGGTATACCTATCTCATTTCCACCAGAAGAGGGAGCCAGCTTCACAGAGAAATCTGAGTTGCTGAAGTTGGTGAACAACACAATGAATCACATAAAGAGAAAGTGAATGTGCCTTGCTGTGGAGTGCCAGAACGGGAGGGAGGGAGGGAGAGAGGAAAGAAAAGAACCAGAAATACATCGCAGCAAAAAGATGAAGTGAGTCTTGCTCTTTCAGCTGGGAGTTTGTACCATCCACACTCTGGAATGGCCCACCCTCATAAACAACTTCACTATTTGGTAAGTTCATGCCTCATCCCTCAGCGTCAATCCGAGTTATGCATGCTCTTTGTTTATGGCAGCTGGATTGGGTTCATAAGCAGGCAGGTTCTTTGGCTTGACTGTGTGTTACCATTAGATTCCCCCCCCTTGTTTTTCTTTTCATAATTTAATCTTTTCATGATCTAAAAGAATGAAAATGCATACGTTCTGGAGGATGAGCATATTTCAGGCATCCTGAAGTATTTATACACATGTGTGGCCAAGCACAATTGTACCTGGAGTCTGCACTAAATAGCTTTGAAAATTGGATGCCTGATACAACCGGCTGGAATATATTTGTTCATTTATTTATGACTGGAGGATAAATCTATATACCTTAACTGTTTAGAAAGATGAGCAGGATCTTGCATGCCACTACGTAACCTCAGTGGCAGTGGGGAGTTAAAATTAAGATGGCATATTCAAATTTTGAATATTGGGGTATTTAATTTTCCATCGTTCCTTCACACATAGGGAGAACAGTATCTTTGTCCTGTGCTATAGAAGAAGAAGAAGAAGAAGAAGAAGAGAGAAAGACAGCTTCCTGCAAGAGAAGATGCTTGATTTTAAGGTCAGGATATCTAAGTGCAGTTTGCTTTATAGCGTTATTCATGCCTGGATGTCCTTCCTCTGAGATTTAGGAAAGAGACCTCAAGCAAACAAATCTTTCCATGCCGGGTTATATTGTTCTCTATCACTCCAGGCAAAATGAAGCCAATACTTTCAGGACTGTTGGCTTGGCGAGCTGAAGAGAAAACTTGTCAGATCATAGATGCATGTTTAAGGTTAGAGCACAGAAGAATCTGAGGCAACTACTCTACCTGGATGCATTTAAAGGAAAAGGAACCATTACACCTAATGTCTGAGAAGCAATGAATGGGCTGTAGCTGAAACATCCAGGTCTAAAGGGATCTGAACTCTGGATTGTCCTTACTCTTTTCCTTCATTCTTCCAATGAAAACTAAAAGACTATCAACGCTTTTCAAGATCTTTGCCAGAAAACTGGAAATATCATGTCTTTGCTTTGCATGATTTCATCCTGATGGGGCATTTCAACAGGATGTACAAAGCGTGACTTGGGTGATGAACATCCAGACGGGACTGCTTTGATGCACAGAGTTTGCACATGATTCATAAGGGCTGGCTGGAATTGAAGGAGCTCGTCCATGTCCTGAGAAGGCTAAATCCGAAGAGTCCTCAAAGTTTAGTCTGGTAGCTTTTGCTAAAAAATCAATGCCTGCCTAGCATTCTTCCACCAGGATATTATTCCCAAAGCAATGCATTTGCTTGCTGTGATTGTAACCCATTGTCTTGCTATGCAATTCAAATCCTAAATATAAAATTGAAAGAAATATATATATATATATATATTTCCCTGGATTAGACACGAGCATCAGAAGTCCTAAAGGTAGGATGGAGAATTTCTTCTTTATGCAAAACTATGATCCTTCTATAAACCCTTTGAATGTTTTAAAATGTAAATTTATTTTCTTTGCCTCTAGGACAATGAATCTTTATTAAACTATTGGGAGCAATGAAAGGAACTGAGTCCCGTGGCTACGTACAAAGGCAGAACTGATGTTTTAATTTCAGAGCAGAAAGGTATGAAGGCTGAAGTGGGTTTAAGACGTCTATCAATTAGAGGGAGGAGAAATTGTATCAGCAACTAAAACACTTGAAGAGTTACACTTCATTAGAGCAGAAGGGCTAGTTAAAAGAATCATTAATCTACTTAACTGAGAAAAGGTGTGAGCTGAAAAATGATTATGCTCTAGACAGAATTTTCTGAGGATTTTCCCCTGCTAAGAATATTCTGTTCCTGTTAAGAATATTCTATTATTGGCTAATATTTAAAAGAAGATTGTTTTTTTTAAAAAAAGGCAGAGACGGAGGGTAGGTGGGGAGGGAGGGTAAGCCCTGATGTGATCAACAAGTTCAGATACTTGTGATGGATTATCTGTGTGTTTTTGTTTTTTTAAAGTTTTTGTTTTTTGAGAGAGAAAGCGAAGGGATCCACCCAAGACCAGAGACTTGAGCCTGAATCTTAGGGTGCCTGCCTGGTTTTGAGCAATTAAATTGTAAGCTTTGTAGATACATGAGGAGCTGAAGCCACTACTAGGCCTGTGACATGATTTTGCCTGAGAAGGAAAGATGATTTGGAACAACACCACTATGGACGGGGAAGGGTTGCTTGTGAAAAGAGATTCCTGCTTCCGAATCCTCACCGGCTGCTTCCTCTCCTTGCTGATCCTTTCCACACTCCTAGGCAACACCTTGGTCTGCGCAGCTGTCATTAGGTTTCGCCACCTGAGGTCCAAGGTGACCAACTTCTTTGTGATCTCTTTGGCAGTCTCAGACCTTTTAGTTGCCGTGTTGGTCATGCCCTGGAAAGCTGTGGCTGAGATAGCTGGATTTTGGCCTTTTGGATCATTCTGTAACATCTGGGTGGCATTTGACATCATGTGTTCCACAGCTTCCATCTTAAATTTGTGTGTGATTAGCGTGGACAGATACTGGGCCATCTCCAGCCCATTTAGGTATGAGAGGAAAATGACCCCCAGGGCAGCCTTTGTCATGATCAGTGTGGCATGGACCTTGTCTGTGTTGATTTCCTTCATCCCCGTACAACTGAACTGGCACAAAGCTAAAACCACAAGTTTTTTAGACTTAAATGCCAGTTTCCAAGGTGTGGCTATGGACAACTGTGATTCCAGTTTAAACAGGATGTATGCCATCTCTTCCTCTCTTATTAGTTTTTACATCCCAGTGGCCATCATGATAGTCACCTATACAAGGATATATAGGATTGCTCAAAAGCAAATACGGCGTATCTCAGCCTTGGAACGAGCAGCTGTGCATGCTAAGAACTGTCAAACCCCTGCTGGCAACAGGAACAGTATGGATGGCCAGCAGCCAGAAAGCTCCTTCAAAATGTCCTTCAAGAGAGAGACTAAAGTTTTAAAGACTTTGTCAGTGATCATGGGAGTGTTTGTATGTTGTTGGCTACCCTTCTTCATCCTGAACTGCATGGTGCCCTTTTGTGAGCCCAGTACCTCATCCCAGGGAGCAGAGCCATTTTGTATAAGTTCTGCCACTTTTGATGTTTTCGTCTGGTTCGGATGGGCCAATTCTTCCTTGAACCCGATCATTTATGCCTTCAATGCAGATTTCCGCAAGGCGTTTTCCACTCTTCTCGGCTGCTATAGACTCTGTCCTTTCTCCATTAATGCGATAGAGACAGTTAGTATCAACCACAACGGGGGCATGGGTTTTTCGAGTCAGCTTGAGCCGAGAGGGTCCAGCCCCAAAGAGTGCAATTTTGTCTATTTGATCCCCCATTCGGTTCTCTGCCCAGAAGAAGAAGACATGATGAAAAAAGAAGAGGAGGGGATATTCACCAAAACCTTGGAAAAAATTTCTCCAACCCTATCAGGTATTTTGGATTTTGAGGCTGATGTGTCTTTGGAAAAGATCAATCCAGTCACGCAAAATGGCCAGCATAAAACCTGAGGTGTAAAGTTGACTCATTAAAAAAAAATATATGTGATCATTCAAGAAAGATTTTCAACTTTTTTTGTCAGTTTTTAGCAAGAAGGTGTGCTATTGTGAGAATCAAAGCCATCACATTAAAATCCAGAGCTTGATCCGCTGCGGTTTGACAAAAGCATAACATTTTAAAAAAGAATTCCACCTTTCATACATTGTATTTAAAGAGTGTTCTATGTTGTTCATCTTGAATGGAAATGAATCAAATATGTAGGTACAGTGTAGCTGCAAAAAAGGAGGGGAAAAAGAGTTTTAAGTGGATACATGTTTTCAGAAACAGACCTGGGGAAATAAATTATACTTCTCTGTGTGAATAAAATGTAATAGGTTTATACAAGATTCCCAGCATAGTCATTTGTGGGTGTTTATACATTGCAAGAAAAATTTGATAACTTGTCAGATTAGGTGGATGGATGCCTTCAAAACAATGTTGAACATCAATACAGCCTTATAATAAGAATGGGATATTTTTAACAGTAGGAAGATTATGTGTCAATATTGGCTTTATTTATTATTTAAATGGGTATTTTTTCATATGTTTAAACAAACATGACTTTATCTTATTTTAATATATGTTGAAAAAAATAGGATATTTGTATGTATGGTGTTATTCATTGCATTTTTGATCTGTTTACTAGTCAGCACTTTATTCAGAAGCAAAAAGGGAGAATTTACAAAATTAGCTTCGTCTAGCTAACTCTGGAATTTGTAGGTGTTCCAAACGCAGCAAAGGGGATAAATCTCCAGTACCTTTTGCTCCGCAAAATGAGAGAGGTGTTTTGTGGGTTCTTTCTGAATCAGAAGATCAGAATCACTTGAATGATAAGTTATACAAACTATGATCTTCTAGAAACAAAAATCGTAGCTGTAGTTTAATTTTCAAGTTTCAGTCTATGTTGACTTTGTTTGAATGTCAGCATGTGAAACTAAACACAGTAGCGTACTGGTCTAAGAGAAATGAAAAATGAACACAAATTCAAAGATACGATGATCTAAAAAATAAAACCTCACCTATATTTAATATTTTGAACTAATCCTCTTAGATTTCTCTTATTTCAATATTTTTTTTGTGGGGGGGGAAATAATTAATCCCTTTTACAATTGGAGAGTAGATCTATTCACAAATATTCTGTGTGATAGTTAAACAGAGCTTCAAATTGTGCAGGCATATGCTTCGAAATGCCAGCGAGAAGGAGGGCCAACTTCCAAGAGGCCTCTGTCCTGCCACTGTGAGGGTGCAGTGCCGCTTAGTCTGATCAAGCAAACTATTCTGTGCTCTTATGAAATTGGTACCAAAAACAGCAATGTAGGAATGCTATACCTTGTGAAGCAGCGCAGTTTGTCTTAAGTCTGCTTGTTTTAATTTTCACTTTTGTTCACTGCCTCTTGCATAGAAAATAGTGCCTCGTTCTGGTTTTGGATTCTCACAAAATGAAAGGAACAACAAAACTCCTCCTCAAGGTTCCTGCAAGTTCCTAGAGTGGCCAAGATTTATGTTCCTTTTGCTCCCTTGGAACCAAAATTCATCCTACCTTCCCTTAATCATATTAAATAAAAAGAATGAATGTTAAAGCTACGAAAGTAACATACAAACAGGATGGGGATGATGATTGAATGATAGCAAAACCTCCTCAGATTTTGGAAGAAAATGCAACATTCATTGAGAAATGTAGTCAGAAAAGGAGAAACAGAAGAGATAAATTAGGTCTACAAAAATATACTTCCTAAATCAGGTCTGTTGTTACTCAAGTATTGTGAATGTTTTCATAATTCTATTGCCTGTAAGCTGCTTTCATACATATAATAAAATTATTTTGTGAACATAAAGTCAAATAAAGCAATTTACATTATATTTATTAAATAAAACTTGCTTTTTTATTGCCATGTTGTTTTAACTAATCAGCAGTTTCCTCCCATTTTCTTTCTTGTTTGTTTTGGAACCTCTTGTGACATTTAATTAATGTCTGGTGAACATCAACTAAGAACTGTCTCATGCAGGTCATTTTAGATATTCTTACATTTGTATTGGGACAGAGTTGATTTCTATCCTCGTAAGAATTGAGCAGAAAGATAGAATTCTCTAAATACAGAATGCCCTTTTTGCATGCAAAGGTTTGATTGTCTGCATCTTCTGATAAATCTGAAAAAAGCGTTTGGAGAGTTACTGCCGTCAACACACACAGTACTGGGAAAGAGGAGCAGTGATATATGCAAAAGCTGTTTTCTGTATTGTGAAGAGCAAAGCATCTTGATATAATGTAAAAACAAATGCTTGCAGCATTTTTTTTAAAAACAGTAACAAAACTGAAATACTTTTTTTTATCATAGAAGATTTAAACATGTTTATGTCAATGGCCCCAAGCAACTAAATCTTGCCCCTGTTTTCAAAAGAGAGAGACACTACTTCATCCCCTCATGTGGATGGGGCTTTCTGATAAATCAGAGGTAAACATGGTATATTTCCTCAAGGAATCGGATTTCAAATTCATGGCTTTGGTGTTGGGTTTCTGAAATCTGCAATAGTAAAACATGATAGAAGAGAACTGGTGCTCTATTTCAGTCGTTCCAATCACTGAACAGATCTGTGCTGACATTTGAAGCAGGACTAACTTTCTGCCAAACTTCTTCTTGCTGAATTCTCAGTATTATTGCATGAATGCATAAATGTGTCCTCATCTCTCTATATGTGTCTGCATATGTGTGTGTTTGTGTGTGTATGTGTGTTATGAATATGTGTGTAAGTATGTATACATTATAATAGGATCAAATCTTCTAGAACAGTGGTGGCGAACCTATGGCACGGGTGCCAGAGGCGGCACTCGGAGCCCTCTCTATGGGCACACGTGCCATTGCCCCAGCCTTGCCTCCTCCCGTGACCCCCTCCTCACCAGCAGCCCCCCTGGAGAAGAGTCACCCCTGAGCGTGGCCCACACAGAGCAGTGCAGCCAAGGACATGGCAGCCAGGCAGCATAGACAAGACTCTGCCCTCACACCCCATTGCGCACAGTTGATGCTGTGGGGCGCGGGCAGAGGGCATGGCCGTAATGGTGCTTCTGGGCTGCCTGGGCGATCTGTGGCGGGCCCTGGAGGTGGTGAGTGGCCCTGCAGGCAGGCGGGGTGGGGACGGGGCAGGGGGTGGAGCGGGGACGGGGCCAGTTTTTGGGGAATCAGTCTCTAAAAGGTTCGCCATCACTGTTCTAGAACATCCGGGAACTTGTGGTCTTATGAAATTTGCTTCTTCAAGACGTACCCAATGAGTGCCAAATTGGATAGCTTTTTAGGGAAGTAGACAATTTTTTTAGAGAATGGTATAGTTATGGATATTCATTATAAATGGCTACCTGTGAATATGGGCTGCTGGAAACCATAGGGTGTTTGGGGATGCTTGTAGGTTTTTGCAAATGTCTGGTTATATCTGCAGTCCTATATAGTCTGATTGTCTGAAATGGAGGGCTGAACATATAGACTTCTGATCATCAGACTGAAAGAGTTTCAAGCCTCTATTTCTTGCTCTCTGTTCATTTCTTTCTCTCCCCATGATACTAAATGATGACTGTAGAAATTCTGCTGAGTTATTTAAATAGGCCTGCTTGCTATTCATGCACCATAAAATAAAATAGCACAGATAACGCCTATTTGGCGTAACTTTGAGCTTTTTCCAATTGGGGGCATGCATTTTGTTCACTCTCTGATATCCCAGTTCCCAATGTGTAGCTTTAATTTGGTTTAATATCTGTTTTCACTCCAGTACATGCCTCAAGACAAGTAACTGAACCACATCTGAAGTTTGAAACCAGTATTTACAGATATTTAATTCTTCTTGTATTATCAATCAGGTTTACATAGTATCATCCCAGAATACTGCATCCAGAGGGATGAAGGTGGACCAAGCTGCCAGATGTACATAATGCATATAATCAATAGTCAAACAGTATGCAATGTTAGACAGAGAGAGAGAGAATGTTATGCGTGAACATCTAAATTAAGGAGCAGCTTGCCAAAATCAAAATCCAAAGTCCTGCCTGGTAGAGCGTTCAGTCGTAGAATGGCTAACCAGATGCTACTGGGAAGCTCCAAGCTGTGCATTAGGGAAGAGCTTTTTCATGAAGATGAAGCCCTGCCAGCAATTAATACTCCGAGGCTCGGCATCTCGGTCCCAGGAGGCAGCAGAGTGTATTCTTCATCATTTGGTCTCATCCCTCTTCAAGCTGGTGGCCATCTAGACATATTTATTTAGCTCTACTCTAGACATTTCCTTTCATCCCTTTTTTGGACGAGCCTATTATGAAAAAGGGAGAAAAAAGAGCATTCCCTGATTTAATTCTTTCAAAACAGACAAACCTATACATGTTTCTCATTTATCTCAATCCCATTTCTCTTTAGTTAAGTTTCTTTCAAGGACTTCCCCCCCCCCCCAAGGTTTGTCAAATGCTTAGAGCTTGGAGTGGCACTTTCCATTGATTTCACTTGTTTGGGCAGGGCTTTTATTGCAAAATAATGTAAAAAATAAACTGTGCTATTTCAATTATTCCCAAGGTTTCTCAGTGACATTTTCTCAAACTGTAATTTTCCTTTTTTTGTTCTAGGCAAAGTACCCCAGTGTGAAATACATCCTATAAAAATAACATTAGCCTCATAATTTTAGCATTTTAGAAAGAAAAAAAAATGCCTCAAATATCTGTTTTCAGAGCTTCATCCCTTTATCTGTTTCTTCTTTGTCATTTTAATATCTTCTCTGGCAATGCTGCTAAAGTTATTAAGGGCTTACATGATCTGAGTTATTGTAGGCAGTGGTTTAGGTTTTTGTGGAATCTTATACTGTAGGCAAATAAGGGATATAAGAGATAGACAGATTAAAAAATAGGGTAGTTTGTTAAAGTTTTTACTCCAAAGAGCTCAAAAAAAGAGAGAAAAGAGTAGAGTACACAGTTTTCTTCTTCTCAATTCATTCTCAGAACAAGCCT